GGTCGAAGCGCTGGCTTATGCCCTTCAATATAAGCAAGTGCAACTTTCTTCAACTAGGCAGCTTCAGAGCCTCCAGCCCCAGGACTTACTTTCTAGAGGGCACACCACTGCAACAGGTTGACAGTCAGAAGGACTTGGGTGTATGGATTACATCTTCACTCAAGCCAACACTGCACTGCGCGAAGGCGGCTAAATCGGCTATGGCTACACTGCAACTCATTAAGCGAGCATTTATGGGATAAGATCCAGACAGCTTTTCAAAAATATTTGGCACCTACGTGAGGCCTCATCTGGAATACGCCATACAGGCGTGGAGACCTTGGACTGCCAAGGACTACACCGTTTTGGAGAAGGTCCAGAGACGGGCGACCAAAATGACACAGGGTCTGGGAGCGCTGTCTTACGAATCTCGACTGTCAACTCTCAACCTGTTTCCACTTTCCTACAGGCAATTACGTGGTGACCTTATACTTGCATTTCGCATTATCAACGGCCTAGACTGTTGTTTAGATCCCACTGATTATTTCACACAAGCTAGCACGCCCAATTTGCGCGGTCATCCCCTAAAACTACGCGCCGGGAAAGCAAGAATCAGTGGGAGAAAGTTCTTTTTCAGTCACAGAGTGGTTGCAGCGTGGAATGCCCTACCCACCGATGTTGCAACCTCCTCCTGTGTTAATTCCTTTAAGTTTAGACTTGACGCGCATCAAGCCTCCCAATTACCAGCCTTGCATCCACTCACATAACCGGCACCAACTTAAACTTGTTTATACTACTTGTAACTTGTTAGTAACCGTTACTGATTACTCTTTCTGACTAGCTGTCAGCGATTATGTATAAACCCCTTTTTCTCCTTCCCACTATCAATGTTTTTCTCCGACGACTTGTAACCAATAGGGAGTTCAAAGGCACTCGCCTATATTTCCCTTAATAAACTGAAACTGAAACTGAAACGCTCTAACCACCTGAGCTACGAGGCCCTGCCGGACGACACGAGTTTTGTCACGCTTATGAATTATTCAAAATCTGCCAAAATATCAATGAACACTAGTTATCTTGGTAGGGGGCGCTCACCGATCGTTCATACGGAACTCACTCGTTCCGTTGTGCCTTTAGGGCTCTCTCTCGAGCCCAACCAGCAGCCGCACAGCGGCACATGTCGGTAATGCCATTCTGACTAGTTATCTTGTAAGAGACTCATTATGGTTTAATTGTTCCACACTCATTTGCATTATTTCCGAGGACGAGTTTATTTACTCAGAACCATTGGCCTCGAAATAGGTAAATCATATAAATTAACCTTACCGGATAGTATATCATCTTCATCGATAGTCATGCGAAGTCCTGATTTAAGAAACACATGGGCGGATTTTGGAGGATAAACACGCAAGCAGCCTTAAAAGGGGTGGAGCCCAGCTGCATTTACTGAGTGAGACAAACAACGTCTTTTCCAAAGACTTAATAATGTCTGAGGGGCAGTGCTGTTTGGGACATTTGAAGCAACATTTCCCCAGTATGAAGTTGAAACAGGCATGCACAGCAGAATTTATTGGAACCAACAAAATTCGCAAAGACTTATCAACTGCAACCTGTCGTTGCATAATAGAGATAACGAATGAGAAAGATACTGAGATTTAAATTTCCACAAAAAATCGATGCAAAACAGCAAGGTCGCCGCTTACTGAATTCAGACTAATAAATGAACATGACAACTTAAAAACGCAATTTAGGAAAGAAAAGTAGGGAATCCAACACTCAACGGGGATGTCTAAATCAAAGGACGAAGACTTACCAAGGCAAGCTTAGGCTGACCGCGTGATCCAGCTGTTTGCATAGGTCGAATTTCTTCTACCGTATGTAGGCCGCCTCCAATTAGCGCAATTTCCGAGTTGTTCGTGCCTGAACAAATATTTGGAAGGATGTTTTGGGGTCAACGGAATGACCGTTATCTAGGGGGTGCTTCGTGATTGAAGAACGAGGAATTTCATTTTCCTGCTTTAAAAGCCATTTAGGCAGGTGCTCAGCTGACCTGACAATTGCCTTTGTATTCGTCCAATGTGTTTGCATCCACAAGTGCATGTGAATACATAACTACAATTTGAGGTGGCGTGCAATGGCTTGCCCGGGTAAATCGCAGTCCTTTGATTTTGACACCCCCTCTGCGTGATAACTTCCCTATTTTTCTTTCCTACATCACGTTTTTGAGTTACCATTTTCATGAATTAGTCTGTGTGCAGTAGACGATAACCTTGCTGTTTTGTATTGGTTGTTTCCGTAAAAAATTCAAATTGCTGTATCTTTCTCATTCGTACCTGTGTTTTGCAGCGACAGACTCCGATTAATAAGCCATCGCGAAATTAGTTAATTCTAATAAATACTCTGTATATGCCGGTTTCAAAATCATCTTTTCCATTTGATTTTTTAACTCAAAAATGACTTCGAAATTTTAAACCCTCTTTCTGATATTCCTGGAGTAAACACTCGAAAGGATTGTGGCATTTACGTTTCATATTTCGTGGAAAATGCACGATGGTCATTACTTACTCTGCATGACGGACTCATGTAACGTCTTTACGGACCTGCGCTCTCCTCAGGACCAAGAGTGACTTTGAGAAGGTAAGAAGGTTTTATAGATATTCCTCTCGTTTTATCCACTCTCAAAACACGTGGTATGCATGTGACGGCAGATTGCCTAACAGTTAATAATTGCAGACCCCTACTAATTTAAAGTGGCCGGTTTAAACAGCAGACTGATGTGGCAGCGTTTGCAGTAGGCGTAACTCCTGTAGAAGCAAAAACTGGTTTTGCACTCATCTGAAAGTTCAAACCCCCTACACAGCGTGGGGTGCGGCACGAGTTACGTGGTGAACATTTCTAGATGTCCTCAGCGATCGCAACACGTGACTTCAGTTTCAAGAGTGACTATGCGGGATGAAGACCCGAAAATGCGCAGGAAGACCAGTGGTGACTAATGACGATCTTCCCTGAGAGACAAGCAGAACTAGCAAAACAACTTAAAATATCGGGTGTCAGTTAAGACTTCCATGACTCCGAAGCGCCAATTCCTTCAAAAGCAATCAAATGTGATGCAAATTACAAAAGTGATGTTTTTCATGCAGATTTCGCTCGTAAATCCAAAGATAGAATGTGCGTCCCGTCTATTTCGACGAAAGGAAGATCTGTGGAGTGTTTTCTGTCTGTGTTTGGAGCACTTCTCGAATTGAGTACATGGCTGTTTAATCTTGCGAAACCATTTCAAAATACGGTTGGAAGATCGCAGAGGATCGCAACACCAATGAAAAATAAGATCGTACGGTTTGTCAAGTCTCGGCTATATTTCGGCGAGCTGCCTACAAGAAACCACATTCTGTACTATTTTGGATGTCACTGCAAAGCTGCGCATTGCGGGCTAATAAGTAAACGGTCAAATTAGCTTGCCCCAACTGTCGGGTTTTATTATTAATAACATGCCAAAACAACCGCCATCCAGTTTTCTTAGTCATCCCACATTATGTGACTTGGTCTATTATTGTATTTTCAATAAAGTTCGAATAAACTTGTGGTAAATTTTTAGAGCTGAGAACATTAGTTTCACACAGAAATAACAAAAATCCCAGAGAAATGTCCCATGCAATTCCGAGCGATTTGATTTTTACAGAGTTTTTTTACGCATGTTCCTTCAACCATTCCTGTGAATTCCCTTGTTTCTTTGAATTACTTCTCACATCGGAATGTCAGCTTCAATAATCCTCACGATACTCGGCACTGGTACCCAGCAAATTTCTAGTAAAATTTTATCAAGGACATTGTGACGGAAAGTAATGCTAGACACTGGGTATCCCAACAACACCAATACCTTGTTTCTCAACTGTTGCCTATCATTTATTGGACATATTTCAAGTTCAAGTTAACGTCGAAAGGTTTTGCCTACTGAATCCACTGAGGTTATCTGGGTGACCAACAACCTCTCCAAATTGCACACTTGTTTGTCATCCAGGTGACTGATTCAGAAGTCAGCGTAGAACTGAAGTGGACTGCTTGTGACTTCCCACACGTGCAGGATTCATTCTTAGCCTCTTTCCCCAGGAACATCAGGGCAGCACAGTCCTCATCTCTGTTGTTAGGGGATCCTGAGATGTAGCTTTTCCACCTAAACATCACACTACTTATTTCAATGTTTGCTCCATGTGCGCTGTCTAATTCGCTAAACCGGCGTTCTGTATAAGTACTGTTATTAAACAATTCGATTAAGTCATTTACGGAGGTAGTGGGTTATAAAGGCCCCGGTCAAAATGACTGTGGGATGATTAGAATGAAAAATTTTGTTGGCCATACCAAGACTTCGCGCTCAAAGTGGTGGTGCAGTAAGCCCAGGCAAAGATGCAGACACTTAGCTTTGTGATCAAGTCTACGTTTCCAATGAATACTTCCAAGCTTTCGTACTCGTCGTAGTTTATTTAGTAATAAAGGCGTAAACAGAACGAAACTTGCAATTTAACTACGTAGTCAGCATTAAAGAAGACTCCTCTAGTACAACGTCGTGCTCTATGCTGTTGTGTTAGCGCAGCTAGATCGGAGATAACGTGATTTTGTGGAGTCCCACCCTTTTTCTAAATGCCAATGACTGAACTTGGTAATGATCGTTCTCATCAGAAACTAAGCTCACAGTTAATTTCCCAGTGAATTAACAGAAAGAAGAAAGTATTTCAACAAGGAACAATTCAAGCATAGCGTCGAGTCGTCTGCCGTCCTGTGTGAAACAGGGTAACTCGCGTTAACTAGTACGCCCTGCACATGAGTGTGCGCACTATGACGTGTTTACCTTCGAGCCGTATTAACGAGGCTGTCAGAATAAGCCACGTCTGATAGGCCGTTCTGATTGGGTCGAAGTGGTAGTGGGTGAGCCAGTAGCCTGTCAACTTCGCTGGCGCACACTACTCCGAGGGCAGGTGAGAACGGTATAATAAGCGAAGCGTAGCTGTAGCACGCATGACTGCGTGATGCCAAAGTGCCCTAGCTGCGATAAGGAGGTCTATTTCGGTGCGATTTACTTTGCTCATCCTGCTAGCTAATGTTCTTCCTCTAGCTGAGCGTGTGACGTCCCTCGGAAAGGACTGGCATCGGCCATGCCTGAAGTGCGCGAAGTGCGGCAAAACGCTCTCGCCAGGGGCGCACGCTGAAGTATGTCCCCGAGTTTTTTTAATGTATTTTGGACTGATTTGGGCGCAAACCACGATTAAAATAAGTGTACTAAAGGTCAAAATATCGAACTAGACAGTGTTTATTCAAAGTTTTAAGCATAGTTTACACTTTGCTACCACTCACTTGAGATGTGGAACTACGATCATATACTATTGCATACATCGGGGCATGCTGACGCTCATTTGCAGTTTTTCAGCTTCTTATTTTCCCCAGAAATTAATCGTTAACTTTGGGCTAATCAGTCTGTTTGGGACTTATAGGTCTAGACTGAATTTTTATATGAATATTTAGGCCAAAAGTCCATCAGCCACTGCGGAATAACCGCGTAATATTCATAAACTGCCAACAGGCAGCCAACAGTATATACTGAGATAGCACGACATACCATATCGTACTTTTAGCTAGTATCTGTGCTGTCAAATATGGTATGTCGTACTATCTCAGTACTTATAATTTTGTCAATCACCCACAAAGATTAATAATAAGTAAGATATGCTCTTTCGGTTACTTCTTCGTATGTGGCTGAATAATCTTTTCTGATTGGGTATGAATTCGGTTGTTGCAGTCATTCATTGTAAGAAATCAAGTCAAATTCAACAAGAGTAAATAGAAGTCTTAAAAACATACCCAGTTTTTGGAGAAATGGCTGACATTTCTAAGTATCAATCCACATGAATACAAATTGGAGGCATCTTCATAGATATACCGTAGGATTTTACAGGGATAAATCATTCCAATCGTCAAGGGCCATGACTAAACTAGAAAAACGGTATACTCCGTCGGCAGAATCAACAAAGATGTGGGTGATATGGTTCGCACATATACGCATACACCTTTCTGAAATTAAGGTGTCTAACCGTGACAAGTCAGAACTTGTCAATTTATTTTTTACAATCATACTCATGGTAAATGTATAAATAAAGCATTTCCAGCACTATAACAAGGACCCCCTTCCAAAAATCGCCTTTCATGAAGATAACCCCTACGGTAGAAATTTATACTTTACTAGTAGAATCCCGGAAGTAGGTAATGTTTAGTGAAAACGAAATGATTAAACGCTTAAAAGACTCACACGTCAAAATCCTTAAAAAGTCCAACCTTGTGCAAGAAGGCAAAAACCTCGTAAGTGAGAAGTGATTGCGATAAAATTTTACAAAAACAAGCCCATAAACTAGGCCTTAGTCCTTTTCCAAAAAATATTTTGGAATTCAGTGCGACAATGAACCTTAAATTATAATTATAGTGGATGTGTCGTGGGAGCATTTTATTCCGACTTAAACATGTACCTGGAACAGGCCTGACTGATAAACGTCAACACCACCCAAAAGCAGCTACTATCATACTTATCCTTGTTGTTTTATGGTTTTCCTCGACAACTTTTAGTCAACGGAACGAGTGAGTTCCGTAGGAACGATCGGTGAGCGCCCCCAACCATTGTATATTCCCGATTGAAAACCGGCAAGGCAACGGGCTCGTGGCCCAGTGGTTAGGGGCGGGGACTTCTAAATAACAGGTCGCGAGTTCGAGCCTCGGGTGTTGCACACTTTGGGGTTGGGTATGGCTGGCTGACGACGGCTAATAAGCCAGAAATGGTCATTCTAGTCTCCCTTGTCTTTGTCGGTAATGCCATTCTGTCAATAGATTTTGGGTCCGCTGAATCTTTGAGCATTCACGACTATTGTACGATGTACCTGAACAAAAGATGCCGTCATCCATCGATACCTTGAATTGCCTGAATGCGTTTTATCTATTGCGAAACCGGTCTGGATATGTGCAAGAATGTAACGTCGAGGTTGTCAACTGAAAACGTAGCAGAACGCAGCGGCTGCCAAGACTCAAACGGGGTCTTTTAGTTTTTTTAACAGTGATTCGGAGAACCTTAACTCACTTTTAGTCCAGTCGATTTATCCAAGCGCAATAGAGTCAAAACTTCATTCTTTCGGACGCGATCTGCATAAACTCTTTGTGTAATCATTACATAACTAAATCTCAAAACGTTCTTAAAGTTTTTTTGAAGAGGACACTGTCAGGAACTAACTGAACTATAGGACAACGCAAAAATTTGAAAGTAATCTATCCAGTGATTCGCCTCCGTCAATTGGTCAATAACGTTTTATTTTAACGAAATCGGGATAAAACAACGATCTAAATGAAACCGCCGTAAATAAACAACGATTTTCACGCCACCAATCTTCCTCCACGGGCATGAGTCGTAATCCAAACAGAGAATAAAGTATGCTCTGCTAAAAAAAAGGCCGAAAATATATGGCATTTTCCCGTACATCAGAGCTTCATTTCTCAGGGACAATAGTCCATATTATTCCTTCAAAATTTAAGAACCACAAACTTCCCTTCCGTACGTTTTGAATTAGCTCATATCTAACATTTAAAATAGCTTGTTGCACTTAAGTGCTTTTACCTTAAAAAGCGTTTGTTTCACTTTGCATGCGACGAACAAAATGCCTCAGAGTGACGCAGATCTTCCTTCTGAACGATACTCAGTTGATTTTATAGTTGGAGAAATAGTATTTTAATAATATTTGATAGGACAGTGTACGCCATTCAAATGGTCTAGGTTGTGATTTTGACTGTTAAGCATATTTGATCCAAGAATTTAGATACATGACTTATTGACCGTTCCTTATTAACCAGTAGACTACTTTCTGCATCCCGAATGATCATTATAATGCTAATTCTCTGAAAACCCACGCCCTTTTTTCTATTCAGCATGATGGGAAGCCTTATTGTAATACGCCGTGCTATAAAGCACTTTTTGGACCTAAAGGTAAGTGTAGAAAGCGAATTAAATCCACATACATTGAGCTTGTGCCTTTAGTGTTAGAAGTTTGTACGTCTAAGCTCATCAACATAGATAGAGTAGTATTCCTGGTGTCTATAATTTCCTATAAAAGCATATATCTTTTACACGTTTCGGTTTTGCAAACGATGATCTTAGAGAGGTCAGCATACAAGTTTTCAGCATATTTCTCCTAAACATCAGCATATTCATGTGACTTCCCATAAGTGTTTATCGATCTTGCTCGCTTCTTCGGTACTTACCTTACCGGACGGTATCCAGTCGATTAACTAGTTTCCTTTCCGAAACAAGCTGCTTTGGCTAAGATTTCTACTTGTGAGTTATTTTAGTTATTTCCAATGCCGTAGAAACTGGCTAACATCGTGCAATACGCTATAATTTTCCATCGGGTGCAATTTTTGGTGGGCTTGCAGAAATACGCCAAGGCAACCGTCAGACAAGTCTTAGTTGTTACACCTACTAGCGATCACAGTTTGAAGACCGTATCAGTTGCCACGATGTACATCATTTTAGCTGAGACCGCCGGCGTTACCGCTGATATGTACTCCCTGAAGGACCATTCGGTGTTTGGCTCACGCACAACTTACGTCATGATATTTTGTTTACGTCCCCCGGCGTCCTTACACAACACCGCCCGCAAGATGTTGCGTCCAACCTTCGTTTGTGCACTCTCAGTTGGCAGCAAGGGGCGAAGGTACGCTTTCGACTATGCTGAGACAGTGTTCACTCTATCCTGAAGTTCGCTAAGAAACAATGGCGGGCGTTTGAGCGAAGGGTATATGTCAACATAGTAAACCATACCTCGAGGCGACAGGGATTTAACCAAACATTTCCGCGATAGAAAAGGTTTTAGTCCTTGGGGAGTTTTTGCTCATGAAGCAGCCAGTCTGCAAGAGAGCAAGTTTGTTACGCTTCAAACTGATGTCCAGACATTCAAAGCCTTTGTCGGACTGATGCACTTTACTTTAAGACCGATTTAATATTTCAAAATGGAGTGGTCTCGCAATTAACTGAAGGGCAGTAGGGAATAACAGTTGCATCTGTAAAAGGGGAAGACAGTTTTACTATAAAATGCCTGTCTTTTGTCGTAGAGCTCGCATAAACTTTCCTTAAAGAGTTTCTAAGTAGAAGGTTAAATCGTGCTCTCTACACTTGCAACATCAAGTTTTCTTATTGTCGCCCATCGTGACAATAAAGTAGGCAGTCATTTACTGTAAAGTAGAAAATTCAACCTTCATAAAGGAATTTAGAAATCGAGCGATCTCCACTGCGGATGGCGCAAAAATCCATCATTTCCACAGCAGGATCTGAAAATGTGGAGGTTATTGTATAATGCTATGTCTTACTTCCAAGGTCGCCTTTAGCGTTATTATACGTGGGCTCGGAATTTTCGCCGAAACCATCTGATTGAAGTTATTACCTAATGAAGAACACTTTATTGCATTCGAAAACTCGAACTCTACAGGGAATGTTCTAGGAAGCTTAAATTCAGAGCAGTAATGAAATGCATGTAGGAATCGCTAAAGTACCACTTCGTCGTCACTATCCTTTGTGAGTAACTGTTACACAGGATTTTTAAGCACCTTAGTTGTGGGGGCGGGAAATGCAAGATTATTTTTGTAAAGTTTTCCACAATTTGAAAGACATGTGTTCAAAACGACGTTTAAAATGTTCGTTAACAAGAATATTTTTGAACTGAGAAGCTTCTAATACCAATAAACTGCACCTTCCTCTCCCGACATGTTAGGATATGCTGAAGATTTCGGAGTTATATGATAACTTCAAACTATGACAATCAACCATTGGCATTTTTCAGGTGTTGGGGTCGGAAGCTCTTATCAGTACGATTGAGCAGACCACCTACGATGGCTGGATCGTCCACCATGTGCTTTTTTTAATAATAAAACTACAGCTTAAAGTCGTATTACTTTTTTTCTCTGGAACCGAGTTCGCATTAACATTCTCAACATTTTCGAGAACGACACTTTTGTGGGGATCCTGACCAAATTGCAGAGACCTAGAATTCAGTCCACGTTTGTAGAAGATAAAGATAAATTGGTATTTGTTAGTAAATACACTAGTCTTAACAAGCAAGTGGCCAAACGACAATGTCTATTATAGAGATCCGGTAGTTCTTCAGTTGCAAACTGTAAGGACAGTCACTATCTCGAGGATACACTGATGACTCGCCGATGAATTAGTCAACAATTGGGATGACTTGTGCCACATCTAACTCACTCTTTCTTCCCTTACCCGCCATATTCCAAAGACATTAAAATATCCGGCCAACTGGATATGGGCCCCGGCGTGTTTGTTGGCGTGGCCGAATCCACGTCTACGAGTGTCACAGTGTTCCCCTCATGCACGCAAACCAGAGTTTAAAGAGGGTCTCAGAACTCCCATCTGCAAGATTTGTCATAAGGCTACATGGAAAATGTGCCATTCAGGTTTGACACTCGGTCCAGAGGTGAATCAAGTGATCCCGTCAGCTGGCAACCCTCCAAGCCATGACTGTTAATGCACCGTGACAGTCAAGAAGCAAGTCGGACTTATTGTGATGAAAACCGCATTAATCTTTGTGGACGAGAATTTGGACCTCACTGTCGATCGCATCCTCTTTTCCCCTTTCATACCACGAATAATATGGAGTCGAGATGACTGGGAATAAGTTGGGAGCTATAGCTGATGAAACATGTAACCTTCGTCTCTGAATGACAAACACTTCCCGACCTCACATACGTAAGAGGCACCATGAAGGCCCAGATATGAGGGAACCATTGTAGTCTGTTCGTCGTTGCATATGCATATCTTTGCCAAAAAGGACATCTTTCCTTAGAAAGTTATAACCATTAAGAAATTAAAGTCTTAACATGTGTGCTCTAAGATGCAAGGAATCCATCCTTCCCTGGATTCTAGCCAAGTCCTTCGACTCCCATCTCCGGCAGTCACGCCTGTCAGCTGCGTACAGTAATCAATAACCGCTAATTTTCGACTGCCTTAGACGACCTTTTTTAGTCGGAGCGACTGTTCAGTTTGATTGGTAAGGCAAAATAAGCATGTAGAGAAGAATGACAGTAGTTTTTAACTACTTTTTGATCTACCTGCACACAAACACCTGCATCACAGTGGTCAATCACTTCTGGGTTTTTAAGTCTCCGAAGCTCTCTAAAACTCATTAATGGTCTTTTTGATTAATGACTAGGATAATATTATAGTCGAGTGAGCAACACAGTGGCACTGGTAAACATGGGACTCTCTACCGGTAACTTTGCCGGTCTTCCAAAAGTATAGGCAAGAAATGGCATACAACATTTCCGTCTTTTGTTTGGGGTTTATTAGAGGCTTTTTGCGCAAAACCTAAAGACCGTGAAGCAAAGGGGGCAAACGAAGGTAACTGTTTCTCAGTGGATGCTGAACGCCAGCAGTCTCCAGCCCTTTTGCTCTTGAATGTGTTATCCTTTGATCAGGGATTTCACCCCTGAAATTCATTATAACGCGCTGGAAATCACGGCTTTTCAGCCACCCAGAACTGGTAGGTATCATGTCCGGCCGGCCTATCTCAATGGGACCTGAATGCGCAGGTCTTAATCGGGAAAGCCTTGCTGACTGTGTACTCTGACAAGTAACATTCTAATAATGAAAATCAGCGCAAATACTGTCTCTGGGAGCCTGCTGTTTGTCTGAGACTTCCTTATCTTAATACCTTTCTCATAACAATCGTGGTGAAAATGCGATTCCCGGGTGGCATATCAAAAGAAGAGGAGGCGTTCACCGGGAGAGGTGTATTTGAGGTCTGACATTTCGGGTAGTCGTTTCTTCTACCCATCTTCAAAGACTGAGCAGTCGTGCACACAGCTTTCCTTTTATGGCGCACTTTGTCCAATGCCTGGCCCATCAATGGGTAGAAGAAACGACTACCCGAAACGTCAGACCTCAAATACACCTCTCCCGGTGAACGCCTCCTCTTCTTTTGACCTTTCCCATAATCCAGTTGCTGGTCGGAAATTCCCCCATTAAACAGGCCTAAGGTCCACAGCCACCGAAAACCCTGATAAAGGGTGTCTACGTATCTGTACTTCTCACTACCAGCTAGGGAATGTCTCCATTAACGAAGTTACTGATTAAGAACTGGCGAGAAGTACGCGCCGCACTAGTCTTTACTCTAACTTCCAAGATTGCTTCAGTGTTTGCTTCTAAAAAACCCATTCCTGCATAAATTTATACCTGGTCTACAAAGACAGAGAAAGTTATGTGGCGAAATGTAGATGAACCTCGCTTCGACAAAGTGCTTGTGACTCATCTGACGGGCCACGTCTGTAAACCACCTACACTGTACGTGTGCTTTCGTGTTCGCGGTTATGATTCCGTATTGTGGTCACGCTTATGCTTTGTTACATGGAGGCAGAATAAGAACAAAGCAGAGCTATCTCGATTGATCCTCATCGCTGCGTTTTGGCTTTCTTTTTATACTTACCGCATCCGGTTTTTTAATCTTCATGACTTGAACTTTTGATGTAAATGTTTGCGGGTCTCGGTTTCCATTTCATGCTAAACATTGTTCATTGCTATGTATAGTAAATTCTGCTGCAAATATTATAAATGAAATTTGCTCTTCTCTCCTCCATGCCTTATTTGTCCCTTTTACAATTAGATACCCTAAATAGACTTTTCACTATCCGTCGCTCTTCGAGATATAACATGTATAATACTGGAGCCGTCCTAGCCCTCATGTTATTTATAACTTTGAAAGACAGACTGCTCTGTCAGCGTCTGAATACTAGCTTACATAGATATGTATATTCTCACAAAGTTGACGGTCTACCACTGAAAATCACTTTGAACTGAAGCGTTGAAAATCCCGATTTAACCGCCAGTCAATCGCACGCAACTGCGAAAAAGCAGCTAATATGTAGGTCTTTACAACTGCGGTCTCCAGCAAATACATGAGTTTTGTTCCACACCTATCTTGATTGTAGGGCAGAAAAGTGCAATTCGGCTTTACTTTGGAACTCCGAGTCTACAGCCAGCTTAGGCATTCGCAGAGCTATGGGCGATCAGTATTTAGAAATTGTTGCTGAGACAAATAAATGCAAGTGGAATGACCACCGCTGACCTATTTGTCGTCACCAATCAACCATGCCCAACCTCAGGATGACATTTGGGATGGGTAGCCCAGCCAATTGGTCTACAAGGATTTTTTAGTTAAGCTCTCCGCCACTTGATCTATGGACCCACGACCCGTGGGTCACGATCAGAAAAAAGTCATTTTTGGATGAGTCTCTGGGCTCAAAGTAGACGTTATGGCCAAGTGTATCATCAAAAAATACGGGAAAAGTCTCACTTTCAGTTATTCGGATGGTAACACGTGGGTGGACGCCTACCAAGAAACGGAGCAGACTTGGGGTTGTTAGAAGTTGTTCTTTGGTCTTGAACCTGACGCCAACCCATGGGTAAAATCCTTTCTTCTAAGCGTTCCATGCCAGGAACTAGATCTCAAACCAAGCCAAACATTCACATGTACGCAGGACGATTGTATAGTCGTTCTAGACCCTGCGTCAGCGCAAATTGTAGTCGGCCGAGTCTGGCACAGTGGAAAATCAGGATGCGTTATAAATGTTCCCATGCTGGGACAGACTTATTTTCTGTGAGATCTCAAACAGGGAAAAACGGTGCCTGCTGTACTTCTGTCATAATCAAAAAGGTTGGTTCAACTTCCTCCTTCAAAGCAAGAGAAAAAATAACGCTTGGTTTAGTAAAATTACTAGCTTAGAATCTTTCTTAAGGTAAAGGGAACCTTGGTGAAGTCTGCAATTTTCCGGGTTCGCCATTCAACTCATGGCTGTCAGAGCCAAAACGACCAAGTAAAGGAGGCTGCAGAACTAAATCCAAACCCTAGAATATTAACTGGACTTGTTTTCAGAATACGATTACTTGAAGGTTATTCAACACTAATAATCACTTAACAGTACCAGAGCTGAGGCAACGAGGCCTTTTGCATTCTTATCCTTAGCAGATAGCACTTTGGGCACAAGTCAAAAACCATCCTAGTATTCTGCAAATTCCTGATTTTTTTCTAATTCGGCCGAAATTCCTTCCTCAATGACTTTGTTTTATTCCTTATTCTTGGCGAGCGACCATTGTCGTGTACCTAGTTTTACTTCTAACTTAATGAAATTAAAGGTTAGTTTAGAGAGGATCACGACAGAGATTCGAGAAAATTGATATGGAGGGGTTTCTGTCTTCGTTTAGTCAATCATAACCCCGATCATCACTTGCAACCAGAAACTCAAGCCTGCACAGACAGGGTCTAGCAGGTAGATCGTAAGTACTTAGTCGGATCGAATTACATCAGTACTCTGCCATCTAGCCTTGCCTGTCGCTGCAAGTGAAATGTTTATGCACACAGGAAAGAGCGCACACGGATTCATTGGCTTCCTGAAGCAAACAGGCTCCAACTCGGTGGCAAAGAGCACGATGAAGCAACCACCTACCAGGCCTGACTGCGCCAGCCTATGATAGAAGAAAAAGTGTCGGCAGAAATGTAGGTAGGTTAATTCAGTTCCGCTTGGGGCTTATCCTGCCTTCATTCATTCAATGATAACCCTGAGCACGTCCTGGAGGCAGAAAATCAAACAAGGGGGCGCAAAGAGTTTAGCCTAGCAGGTAGTTGACAGTACGTGACGTCTGCCATCCTCTCGAAATGTTTTTGCCTCGAAAAGCTAGTGGATGGTCGTGTGCCCTCTTATGCATGTAAAGTTGATGTCTCCAAACGTCGATTTTGGGAACCAATCTAATGACCTTGTAAATTTAACAATCGATGTCACTTTCTCATATTTTTGAGAAATTCGCAT